TTATATAAAAATCTCTCTATATACACATCAAACCATGCGCGTGCGAAAGAACTCTCTCTCAAAGCAATTTCCTACATATATATCTCTGGAAACATATGTAGGTTACTATATGTAGAGGGAGGCAGCTAGAGAGAAGTCTTTCGGCGGAAAAGTATCGGAGAGGATATATCGAGAGCGCTCGCTCAATCTAGACACATAAAGATCCACCCATATAGTGAGAGACACACAAACACAGAACATGTATATATATATATATATATATATATATATATATATATATATATATATATATATATATATATATATATATATATATATATATATATATATATATATATGCAACATGGCCTAATAGTGTGGGTTTTTGTCAAGCAGGAACTATTGGGAAATGACCCCAAGGTTTGTCCGGCAGAGGAAAATGTCGAGGCTGTCTGCCAATTCTTCAACACTATCGGGAAACAGCTTGACGAGAACCAAAAATCAAAGCGTATTAACGACATGTATTTCGACCGTTTGAAGGAACTGGCAGCAAACCCTCAGCTGGCCGCACGTCTAAGGTTTATGGTTCGCAATGTGCTCGATCTGCGTACCAACAATTGGGTTCCAAGACGGGAAGAGGTGAACCCCCCCACCCAAAACACACACACACACACACACACACAGATCTCCTTATTACAGGCTCTCAATACTGAAACATATTTTCATAATTATATCTTGCGTTGTTTATATCTTTTACTAGGTGAAAGCCAAAACCATTTCTGAGATCCACACCGAAGCCGAGAAAAACATGGGGTTACGTCCAGGTGCAACTGCTGGCATGAGAAATAATCGAGCCGTTCCTTCTGGTGGGGCCCAAGGGAGTATTAGCCCTAGTGGATACATTAATCGGCCAGGTGCAGGCGGCATGATGCCTGGTATGCCTGGAATAAGGAAGATGCCTGGTATGCCTGGAATAGACGACGGCAATTGGGAAGTTCCTAAGCCTCGATCCATGCCAAGGGGTGCTGAGAGTGCTGCTTCTTTAACACGTGTTGCTCAGCCTCCACTTCTGAACCAGCGTTTGCTGCCTCAAGGCACTGGCGGTTTCATTAGCGGGAAAACCAGTGCCTTCTTTCAGGGTAGCGGTGCACCTCCACCTGCTCCTGCAACTCAAGTACCTCCTCCAACAGTATCATCTACAGTGGTGCCATCTGTTGACAAACCATTGGCTGCCCCCCTTGCTACAAAACCTAACACCGATGTGCTGAAAAGAAAGACAATTTCACTTTTGGAGGAGTATTTCAGCGTCAGGCTTTTGGATGAAGCGTTGCAGTGCGTTGAAGAATTGAAGTCCCCTGCTTATCACCCTGAATTTGTGAAAGAGGCCCTTTCGCTAGGGTTCGAGAAAGGCTCGTCTTTTGTGGAGCCAATTGCGAAACTGCTGGAGTATTTGTTCAGCAAGAATGTTCTAAGTGCAGACGATGTCAAGACGGGTTTTCTCCTGTACGCAGAATTACTGGAAGATCTCGCCATTGATTTACCAAAAGCACCGTCTAATTTCGGTGAGATTATCGGTAAACTTGTGCTGGCTCGAGGGTTGATCGACTTCAATGCTGTGAAGGAGATTCTGTCGAAGATCGATGATGGCTATTTCAAGAAAGCAGTATTCACTTCTGCGATGAAGACCGTTGGATCTGAGACAGGTGGCAAAGAGGTAATGGATGCACAGGCCTCTGATATTGCAGCATGCGAGAGCCTCTTTTAGGGCGAAACTGCAAACCTCGGACGAAAAATGTGCTCTTACCTAATTACGCCTATAAATTATGCAATTCGATATTTGGTAGGTTGTGTATTTTTATTGAGGTCATACTAGAGTGTTAAGTTAGAGTGAGACGAGAAATTAGAGTGTAAAAGATTTTGGCTTCTCGAACGGCGGCTCTAATCGGAGTTGCCGTGGTTTGCTCGAGGATGAAGGATCCCCTTTTTTAGGGGATCCATTTGTTTTTGTATTTGATTAGTTTTTTAATTTTATTTTTGTTGACTTGTTAAATTTGTGAACTTATAATGCTACTGTGCACAATTTTTAAATGAGGATGTGATGGTTATATATTTCGTGTACATTATGTATTGAAGTTTGTCATGTACAAATAATTAGGATATTATATTACTAGTGTAATGTAAGAATTCAAAAAAATATTATCATGTATCAATTTAGTAATGTATAAATTATAGGATAAATTACGGCCACACCTAGAGGTAAGCTTAAATTACGAAAAAACCTCTTATGTTTGTGTAATTATTATCACCTCTTCAACTATGAATCTTCTTACACGTCCACTCTTATGGTGTCATATTCGACATATTAATCTTTTAGATTTTATGGAATGTTCTCTAGTTTGTACTCGTTTTGTACAAAAATGCAGATTCAACAGAATCTTCTAGATTCCGTTGAATGTTCTCTAGTTTGTACTCGTTTTGTGCAAGAATGCAGATTCGACAGAATCTTCTAGATTATGTGGAATGTTCTATAGTTTGTAATCGTTTTGTGCAAAAATGCAGTTTATGATACACCACAATCTGATATATGCAAGCTAAAAACACATCTTATGATCATCTTGTTTCAAAATGTGGAGCTCGAATGAGATAAATCGGGTACAAAATTGATAATATTCCATATAATCTAGAAGATTCCACTAAATTTGACACCGCAAGAGTGAACGTGTAAGAACATTTATAGTTGAGGGGTGGATGTAATTACCCAAACAGGAAGGGGTTTTTTCGTAATTTGATTTTGTAGCCGTATTTTACTCTACTAATTTATTTTCCTATAATATATGCCATCCAGCAACAACCACATTGCTTGTAGTCATAATATATATGCTTCTGCATACTTATATTCAATCTTCGAATCTTAGTCAATTGCTTGTATCCTATATATATATATATATATATATATATATATATATATATATATAATCCACTCGACTATATATATAATTGCTCTCTTCAACTCTTCTCTTACACAACAACATTAAAACAAAAAAAATAAAAATGAAGTACCTACAATCTCTTATGATCATAGCACTTTTGTCATTGTCCCTATTTTCTCTTCCAATATTATCAGCTAATTGTGAAGGCAATTTGAATGAATTAATTAGTTTGCAACAAGGACGAAGACGACAACTCTTACACGTCAGCAACTCCGATCAGAAACACGTACATGTCCAGATTAAGAAAAGGGGTGGCTCGGTAAGCGTCGGAGTGTCTGCAGCAGTCGGCTTGAAATCTTCGACGCTTCAAGTTTATTCTTTTCTCGGCTTCTCCGTTTTCTTTGCTCTCTTCTTGCTCTAGACTTTCACTAGAGCTCTTGTTTTCGAGCACGTTTGTTGTGTGTGTGTGCGCGCCCATGCGCGCATGCGTTGTAATGAAGTTTCATTAGACTTATTTGTTGAAACTTGTGTTTGAGTTTCATTAGACTTATTTGTATGTATTTTAGTGCTAGTCTTTGTGGTCTTCCTTGTCAAATTGAGATCTAATTTCACTAGTCAAATAAATGTGTAAGAAGCTACATGTAATATATCTTATTCTCTTACAATTTTGGTTTATATATATATATATATATATATGTTGTTTTAGACTTCGTTTGGTTCAGAAGATTAGCTATTATTTTTAAATTAAATAATTGAACTTTGTTCGATGTTTGGTATCCCATGGTTTGGTCCACAAAGGCACTACCGAACCATCGTTCTTTCCTACCACGTGTTGTTCATCCCCCACTACGAAACCATCGTTTGCTGCCTAGGCACCGGCGGTTTCATTGGCGGCATAACCGTACCAGTGCCTTCTCGCAGGGTAGCGGTGCACCACCTGCACGGCTGCACCTCGAGTACATCTCGCCATCCAACAGTAGCATCTAGAGCGGCGCCAGCTGTCGACAAACCATTGGCTGCTGCTCCTGCTTTCCATTTTCTTGATTTTGGTATTAATTAAAGTTGGTCGTGTAGAAATAATTGCTCCCCCGCGTCAAATTAGGATTATTCAATTCCTACTCTAATTAATAATAATAATAATAATAATGTGATAGCTCAAATAATATATGCCATTCAACCACCGAATATTTGTATTCATATATATATATATGCTTTGACATATTCATGATATATCAACTATATATATGTTTGCTCTCTTCAACTATTCTCTTACACTACAACATAAAAAAGAAGAAGAAATGAAGTACCTACAATCTCTTATGATCATAGCACTTTTATCACTGTCCCTATTTTCTCTTCCAATCATAGCTAATTACGACAGCAATAATTCGAAAGAAATGAGTTTGCAACAAAGAAGAAGACAACAACAACGCTTACACATCAGCCATTCGGATCACAAACAAGTGCATGTCCATATTAAGAGAAGGGGTGGCTCGAAAGGCGGCGGATCGTCTGCGGTTGCCTTGAAATCTTCCGTGTTCCAAGTTTATTCTCTTCTCGGTTTCTCCGTTTTCTTTGCTCTCTTCTTTCTCTAGGCTTTCACCGGATCGGAGTTCTTGATTTTTGAGCAAGTTTGTTTGGTGCATGCGTGCACGTGTTTGTGTGTTTGAATGGCCGTTTGTAAGGCCGATTTTAATTATTGTTTTTTTTTTCTTTTCCCGTCAAGATTTCGAACTCGTTTCGATTATCTGTTGTAAGAAACTAGTGTTGATCAAGCTTGTCTGAAACTTGTGCTTGTGTTTCATTATTGGAGAGCTAATTAGGAGTTTGATTGATTTCAATATAAATATATATATAAAACAAGTCTTGGGAGACTTGTTTGTTTGTATGTTAGTGCTAGTCAAATATAATTGAGATATTAATTCCCTAGTCAAATGTAAAAAAAATTCAACTTTGTTTGTGGTTGTCTTCATATCATATCATTTTTAGATGGATTTATTTACAAAAACATATCCCTCAAAGTTGTCCCCATGTTGTGTGTATCTTTTCTTGATTTGAACACTTTTCATTAAAGTAATGGAGATATATTTGTAACTTAGAAAATACACAAAAATACCCATGAATAGGTCAAACTTTCATAAATAATTTAGAGTAAATAACACTTAACTTCCCTATAGTTTTAACTTTGTGCACATAATTCCCGGATAACTTGAACTTTGTACACATACCCCTTATACTTCTAATATAAGCATCTAACCGCTCTATGGTATTTCACAAGGAGGTTATGTGATTATATTAAAATACAATGGACTCATGTGTTTTATTGAAAGTATCAGGGAGTCATTTGCATAACGTTTGAACCACAAGGAGGTAATTGCTATTTTACCCAATAATTTATGCAATTCATCCTAATTTTAAATTCTTTCAAAGTCATCCCAACTACCACCATTTTTTATGCTAGTAGTAGTTGTGTACATTGAAATCTCATAACTATATCCAACTACCACACTTCTTATACTCCTACATCTCATTTTCTTTTTTTCTTATCCTAATTTCATTATTTTCCAATCCAATTTTTTTATTCTTTTTTTTGGAATGACAAAAAAAATAAAAAATGAAGTATCTAAAACCTCTTATGCTAATAGAAGCAATCTTGTCACTGCCCATATTGTCCCTTTCAACATTAGCTAATTCCGACAGCATATCGAACGAGTTTCCGACCAAGAACACTCAGAAACTAGTTAGTGTCCAGATCAAGAAAACGGCCGCTCGAACAATTCTCGGTGGCGGTCGTGCAAGAACAACATCTTCGACAAATGGCTTCAGATCATCTCTGTTTCAAGCTCATTATTCTCTCCTCACTTTCTTTTTTTCTATAGAACACTTAATCAGGTATTTTATGTATTGCCCATATTATCTTCAAACATGAAGTTGTCCGAATATTTGTTTTCTCAATAACTATCCGGATCGAAATAATAACGTACCGGTTTTCCTTTTTCCTTTTCAATCAAACTTTATTACACCAAGATCATCTCAGAATCGGAAAATTCTATGTTACACCCGATTATCAACACCAGGTGAATGTTAACCGTAGATCTACGTATAATTACACACACTCATGTGTACGTGTGCTTAGTAATGGTTAACAAATACCAACATCTAGCTAATCTCCCCCTCAAAATCCAGGATATTGAATTTACTATCTATATATATATATATATATATATATATATATATATATATATATATATATATATATATATAATGAAAAATGGTGAATTAAAACATATAACGAAAAGAATCAGCTGAATCAAACAAAAGAAACAACTTCTCAATTAAACCAACATCATCAAGTCATCAAGTACAGCAACAAATTATGAAATCAAAGTAGCAGATCTTTCAGACAATAGATCGAACACTTGGCGAGCAATCAACACAACAACACACACAAAACAACAAAAAAAAAAAAAAAACAACAGCGAGGAAATTAGGAAGAATTAGTATTACTAGGCAACCTCGTAGTAATCTCCACTGTTGCGGTATTTATCGCGATCGATGAACAGAATTGCGTACAGCGCGTAAATTATTCCGGGAATGTATCCGAGTATAGTCAGAATCAAGCAGATAAAGAACTCCGTCTGCAAATTAAAAATTAAAAAAATATTAGCAGGATGAAAAAATGAAATGAAGCTGGAGAATTGAAAAAAACCGAGAGCTTACAGTGCAGCATCCATGGCGGAGGCAGACGCCGAGAGGAGGGAGGAGGATTGCGAGTACAACCTCGCAGAAAATCGCCAATCTCGATGGCATCTTTTTTTCCTGATCTAGATTCTGAAAATATCTGTTTCGTTGAGAGAGAGGGGAATTTGACTTGGATATTATAGCAGTGTCGACTCAACTTTTTTATTTGTAAAAAGGTCCTTGCATTTATGCTTAATTCTATTTTTTCCACTCCAAATTGATATTTTTAAGTGACTAAATTATTATTCAATTGTGACATGTCGGTCATACATTATTGCATACAACATTGGATCCCAAACTAGAAGAGAAAGATTCGTATACCCTACAAAACGTCGTCGTATTTATGATTAATTGTCCACGAGTACTTGGATGTTATAGCGGTGTGCAATCAACTTCTTAATTGCACAAACGTCCTCGTATTTATGATTAATTCTATTTTGCACCCTTTAGAAAAAATTAATAGATTTTTTTTGCTTCAAATTGATATTTCTATAGTTCATGACTTCATGACAGTAATTTAGTCTTTTTAATTTGTTTTTTTTTATAAATATATATTAAGATGCAAAATATGAAATCAAAATTTTGTTTCGCGACTCTTTACATAATTTTAAAGGTATGATGTGAGTCATGCAAGAGATATTCTAACGGTTGAAGCAAGTGAGCACGACGTGTCAGTTGACCGAGATTTGAATACTCTTAGCAACGATTAGTTTGCAAGCTATTCTACGACTTGCTCAGTATACCTATACGATTTTGGCATACAAAAATATAAAATGTGGAGGAAAATTGAAAGATTCATATACACTAGAAAAATACAAATTTATGTACACTTGTGGAATTAAGAAACATAAACTAACTAGTCCACTAAATTCTATAAGAACCCTAATGACGTGCTTAGCACTATCTCTTCGCCCCACAAACTTGCCATCTACATCAGATTAGTTAATTAATCTCATTATTGTTACTACTATCCATGATTCTAACAACAATGTTTTTGAACTTTGAATGCATCAATATATTAATAAAAAAAAATATTTTGACCAAATTACACATCTAACAAGTGACAAAATTGTGACAAAAAAAAATTAAAAAAAATACAACTGATAAAATTGAGCCAATCAGTAGGACCGACAATTGGGCCATGTGAGCCCAGTTTGAGTCGGCTCAAGTATACATACCATCGGCCTAATTATTATAAGCTCAAGTTTGACTTGTTTATTTTATCGAGTTTTGGATTTATATCGAACTTCAGTAAAATGACTCAAACTCGGCCCAGCTAATTAGAAAGTAGACTAGGCTAAAATATAATCGGGCCGAGCCATTGGACTTCGGTTAATCCCGGCCCAATTGCCGATCCTACCAATCAGCACAAACTTTATCCTGCGCGCTCCACACGATTATTAAGCGCTTCAAAACCCTAAGGGCATCTCCAATGGAGTAAGCAAACTCCATTTGGCTTCAAAATATAGAAATTGTGGAAGAAAATTCAACACCAATAAGAAATTTAGTGGGGCTCTAAATTTTCAGATTTTTGCATAATCTCCAAACTTGTTCCTAAATATAGGACTTCGTTTGGAGACTCATGTGTATTTCATTGGACATTGTTTAGGAACTCAAAATTATGGAGCCCTCCACTGTGAGATTTTATTTTTTAGAGACTCTAAGATTCCATCGGGTCTCTATACGGGTCTCCAAATTCAAATTTGGAGACCCGATTTGCTTACTCCATTGGAGATGCCCTAATGATTCAAATTTTGAAATTCCCAATTTTCCAGCACTTCAACTTTCGATAGAATCCGCATTTGTTCGCCGGAATATTGAACAATTAAAACATGGACTTCAATTCTCAGGGGATTAATCAACTATATCCACCGCGGATTCCTCCGCCCTCGAATTACGACCCGTTTTCCGATCGTTGCCGTCGAGGTCCGTACTCCTACGTCGTTTAATTTAGTTATTTTCGATTTTCCGGTAATAAATCTAGTCAATATGTTTTGTCGTCAGCTGAAAATAGATGGGATTAATCGGCATTGCGTTTTTTAGTTGTTCAATCGTATGGAATTTGCGTTGTTTAAATGTATCAAGATCAGATTTTTTTTTCTTCTGGTTTTACTGCATAGATTTCTTGTTGATCTCCTAATTTTATGTAAAAAAAAAAAAAAAAAAAAAAAATTGTTTCATCTTGCTATATAGGACCAGATTTAGGGCACAACCAGCAGCATAACTTCTACAGAGACCACCAATTTAATCCACGAAATATGCGAGATGCAGCCGAAATCGAAATCGAGCTCGAAAAGGAAAGAATCCGAGAGGAGATGATCATGCACGAAATCAGAAAAAGGCTTTACTTCGAAGACGAGGCAAAGAGGAACCAACTGATGGAGAGAGAATCGGCTCTTCCAAGGTGGGGCCCGTATTTCTCGTCTCCGAAAATGGACTTCAAATCGCAAACAAGTATTCCATTAGCTCACGGGAGGTCTTTAGAGGAAAGAATTGCAATTTCATTGGAGGAGAAAATAAGGCTGAATGGAAGGTTCCATAGAGGTAGTGCTGGTCGGAGAATTTCGAAGCCTTTCAATGTAAGTATTTGTTGCTAATTACTCGACTTTGAAATTAAATTAATTACCATGTGGAAATGATATATTGTTTCGATTTGTTTCGTTGATCTGTAGCACATTGGAAGGAGATTTGATATTCTAACTTGTGTTTCTTGATTTAAATTTCTTAAACTTTTACTTTTGAGTTGCCTTCCAACTAAGATCTCACAATTTTATTAAATATTAGGTTTGTTAGTTTCTGAGACGGGTTTTTTGGTCTTTTCACTATTTATAATGTGTCGATAATGTTCGATTATTGTAGCCCGAACGTGGTGAGAGTATGACGGGATTGAAGAGGAAGGCACCTGGAGTTGAATTTCTACCAAATCATTTCTTGAAGAAGAAAGCTAAGGAGGAGTGGGAATAAAGATCAATCAGAATCAGTTCGAGTCGACAAATAAAAAAAAAAGTCTGATCGAAAGAATTATAAAGCAGAGATTTTAGTGTGAGATGCGCAATTCCGCATCTTTTCTCAGAATGCTTTGGATGACCATGAAAAGGCGAAGAAACTCATTGATATAATTGCAATTCGGATGACTCGATTCCCTGTAAATTTTGCTTCAAATTTTGTGTTCTGGTTCAAAATTTTGTGTTCTGGTTCAAAATGTTTCATTATTCAAAATTGCCAATGATTATCTTGGTAATGTTTTATTACCATTGTAAAAGTTGAAGTTATTTGAAAATCGAAATGTATCTACAATACAAATAACTTGTTATAACAAAATTGCTTCTGTCTTTACATCTTCTTCTACAAGCGACAGAAGTTAGCAAACTTCACGCCGAAAGCTCGAAAAAAAAAAAAATAGTTACGTTATGTTCATGACTTATTACAGCCGTTTGATGGTTTCTAACACATAAGTTTGTATACAACTAATTGAAAAAAAAATATTATATATAAGAACACTAGATACTCTACATACGAAAGTTGTTAGGGCTTCAAACTCTCAATGCAACAGGATCCTGCCACGAAATTTTCCTCTTCCCAACACGAGACGAAGGCACTACTTCACCGCCATTTCTACATATCGAAAGCATTAAATCATTCTGCACCTCTTCGTTTGTGCTTCTCGTTTTCTTCACTGCTTCAACGTTACTCTGGAAATCCTCATCTCCCGTCTAGTAAATGTGAAACATAATTAGAACAAATACAGCAAATTAAAACGAGAAAAAAAGTAAGTATGTAAAAAACATTTTAACTATTTACCGAGATTTCGTTCAAGTCGAAAATAGGAGCTCGGCTGGGAAAAGACGCTTCTTTACCGCATCCACTGTTATAACTATCCTGGTTCAGATCGAAAGCTACAACGGAATTCCTCAAAGATGTATCAAGAACTGGTTTTGTTTTCTTAGTCGAAGTTTCTCCTCTACTAGTAACACGTTTCCTCTTAGGTTTAGGCTCGGGAACTTGGGATAGTCTAGTATGGCCCACTTCTTTTCTGTTCACTGTTTGCTTAATCGGTTTCGGTCGTTGTAGATTTTTTTCCTTTTCCGACGAATTGATCATATTCCTCGATTCCACAAAGTGCTGATATCTTCTTCGCAAAAACCTGTGGTTTATTTTGACAAGATTAGGGTTACATCAATCAGGGCAGACACTAACCGAAGCTTTGTGCATAAAGATTTGTTTTTTTTTCTTCTTCATATAAGCAGAGTAAATTGAAGCAATTAGGGGTTCAAGAAATGAATAATCGGCCACGATCGTGATCATTCGTACGTACATTGATAAAAGGGTAACATAATTTCTCATTATTATTCCATCCTAATATAAGAGCAATATAATTTTAAATTAAGGCATAAAACTTATGCGTACCGAACTTCAGCAGCAAGCATCATCTTCCTCTGTTTTCCTGCCTCCAATTTACTTTTCATACCATTAACTTCCTGTAAGAAGGTTTAACTATAAGTTAGTCCCACATTTATTAAAAAAAAAAACCCGGCTACTATTAAACTAACTTTCGGAGCATCGAACGATTCCAAAGTTTCGAAAATTTCAACATTATATGTACCTTTTATTTAGGCAAATAAGGTTAACAGGCATCAAGACATTTCGAAATCGATTTTTAGATTAAACATTACAATCAACGATGTGAAAAATCGGTACAATCGGTACTTGTACCGACATAATCATACTTCGATTAAAACTAAAGCTTTTCAATTGAAATCCAAATAGATCTAATACAAGACACTACTGCCAAGAGTTCAAATACACAAACAAACAGAATCACAATCAAGAACCTTCAAAAAGGTTGAAAAATTAGGGCAAATCACACAGTAAAGAGTTCAAATAGACAAACAGCAGAATCATAATCAAGAACATCAAAAAGGCTGAAAAATTAGGGCAAAAAATTAAAATCACACAGTAAAGATCCAAAACCCAGAAAGCAAAACAATCAAATCAAGCCTCAGATCTCATAAATAACCCAAAAAAAAAAAAAGGACCTTTTGCAACTCTTGATATTCTTGCATAAGAGTCTGATGTTTCAGCCTGGCCCTCGAATCCTCGTACATACCACCACCACCGCCGCCGCCGTAAGACGGCGGCGCTGAATCCAAAACCACCGCCTTATTCCTCCTCTTCGACATAATACCACAACCCTAATACAAACCCCACAAAAAAGTTGCGATCTTGAAACAGATCGAGCGGCAGAAATTTCTATGGAGAGAAGCAAGAATAATGAAAATTAGGGTAAAAGATAAGAAATAGGAGACAGAGAGATGGGCAAGCAATAAAGAAAGGTGGGTTTGTTATTTGTATGTAGAGAGATAGAGAGAAGATATAATAGGGGAGGGAGATAGAGAGAGAGAGAGGGCAGTAAAATAGAGAGAGAAAATAGAGAGAGAGAGAGGGTGGGGGGGAAGGTTCTTTCTTTTCTTTCTTTCTTTTCTTTGTTTCCCTGTGGGAAGAAAACTCTGACCAAGACAAAGGGCCGAAAAAGCCCACATAATTCGGGCAACCAAAAAAACAAACGTAGTTGTTTGTTTGATGATGAAGGGCAGTTGTGGCACAAAAGCCATATCTGCTTTTTTTTTTTTCTGTGTGTGATGTTTGTAATGTGAAGAGCCACCTCTCACTTTCTCTCTCTACACATTCACACACACTAATTTATTTATTCTCTCTCTCTCTTTGCTGTCTTTCTGAGTGTGTATGTGTAAGAATAAAGACGTAGATACATATATAATATGATGTATAGACATTATAGGTGGAGTGGTGGACAGAGGAAAGCTGGACTCTTGGATTCTTGAATCTTTGATAAGTTTTTATTTCTAGAGAGAGAAAGTATGAGGGATAAAAAAAAAATATAAAGTAGAGAGAGAGTTTTCTGAATTTGAAGTTGTTGGTAGAGTAGCTTGTTTTTAGGGACTGGGTCTTCTTCTGAAGGCTGCCTGCCTGCTTTGATGGTGATGCCCCTCCCTCCTCTTTCTCTCTCCTCTCTCTCTCTTAATGGTACGGGACCCGTGATGTGGAATTACGATTATACCCTCCTTGGCGTCTTCACTGTTTCTTTTGATTGGAACCCAAAGTCAAGATCCACCAGCTCTGCCCCATTTTACCTGCAATAATAAAACAAAATAATGAAAACATTTGACACGAATATCCACATTTTTTTTTTCTCCCAGGCATTACTTCTTGTTCCCCATGGTTGAGGGGGTAGTTTCGTAATTTTGCGTGTCTGGTGAATGGGTATGTATGTCCATGTACATGATTAATACTCGAGATCTATATGGAAATTAAATTTCAAGAATCCCAAAAAACTTTCAAACAAATTAAAAGATTTTTTTAAGGAGTCTTAGGATATAAGTCTCTCGTAACAAATCTTATTAGAACTAAATGACAGTCTAATTAAAATTTGCTTCACAAAATTTATTCCAAAAATGCTCCTCTACTCACAAATTCGAAATTACATCAGATTGTAAATATTCTATGATGTACGTATTATTTAACATTTTTAATTTGCATCTAGCATTTTTGTTATATTATTTGTTACGTGAACTACTTATATTTTTTGTTTTTTTTCATTATTAAGAATCAATTTTTTTCCAACATAATATTGAAAATTATGATTTTTTTTAATTTTTTTTCCGATCGTAGTCATCTGCAAACACCAGTAGTTTCGTTTTTATAATACATCAGATTTTTAAAAAGTACTATTCCGAACTATATCATTCACCAACTCCAGCCGCCGCCAAACCCTAACTTCTAACATATTCCATCCACCGTTAAATCATAGCCGCCAACAAATTTCAGCCGCCGCCAAACCCTACCTGCAAAAACCTAGTCGTCCACCAACCCTAGCCGCCGACAAAATTAAACCCTAGCCATTGACAAAATTAAACCCTAGCCGCCATAACCGTCAACCAAATTAAACCCTAGCCGTCAACCAAATTAAAACCTAGTCACCATCCACCGTAGATCTGACCAAATTAACCCTTAGCCATCGACCAAATTAAACCCTAGCCGCCATAGCCGTCGACCAAATTAAACCCTAGCCGTCGACCAAATTAAAACCTAGCCGCCATAGCCGTCACCAACCGCCGTAGACTGACCTCCACCACCATAGTCGTCGTCGCCTCTTGTCTCCATAACCATCCCCTTATTAACGTCGCCTCCACCGCCACCGCCATAGTTGCGCCATAGCCATCGTGTGAGAAGTGATGGAGAGGGAGAGCGAGAGAAAGAGAGACGAGAGAGGGAGAACGTGAGAGATGGAGAGAAAGAGAGAGGTGAGAGAGGGAGAACCAGAGAGAAGAGGGAAGAAAATAAGAAAAATAGATCTGAGAGAAACGTGTATAATTTATGGAGTGAGAGGTGGAGAACGGGAGAGAGGGAGAACGAGAGAGAAGAGGGAAGAAAATAAGAAAAATAGATCTGAGAGAAACGTGTATAATTTATGGATTTAAGTTGAGGGCAAATTTGGGATATAAAAAAGGTAAAGGATGTGGGTCATATTTATTTTTGTAAAAAAGATTTAGTTAAGAAAAAAATATTAGGCTTGTATTCCATATCTAATTATATTTCCAACTAGGGACCTCTAGCATATTAACCCTTTTTTTAATCTGAAATATTAAATGTCGTTTTTATTTTGTTAATTCCGTTTTTTGTTTTGAACGTGTATTTTCTTACGAAAAAATCGTTCATTTAGTAGGTAAATTTGAAATTGTAAGGTACACTTGTAAGACAATACATAGTTAAAGGCGAAAGTTGTAATTATCCAAACAAGAGGGAGTTTTCATAATTTAACATTACCTTAGGGTGTTAGCCCTAATTTGCCCATTTTATTTTTTATTAGACTTATTTTTTCACGTGGGCCGTACTCGTGGTCAAGAAAAGGAAATAAATAAAAATAGGGTAAATTACAAATACCGCCCTGAGGTATGGTCAAATTACAAAAACACCCCTCTTGTTTGGATAATTACAACCACCCCCTCAATTCCTCAAATTTAGTGGAATCTTCGAGATTATATGAAATATTATCACTTTTGTACCCGTTTTATCCCATTCAAGCTCTACATTATGAAGCAAGATGATCATAATATGTAATTTTTAGCTTGTATATATCAGTTTGTGGTGCATCGAAAACTGTATTTTTACACAAAACGAGTACAAACTAGAGCACATTTCACGGAATCTAGATGATTATGTTGAATTTGGCACCATAGGGGTGGAGGTGTAAGAAAAAATCATAGTTGAGGGGGGTAGATGTAATTATCCAAACAAGAGGGGTTTTTTTGTAATTTGACCATACCTTAGGGGGTGTTTGTAATTTACCCATAAAAATAAATAACGTTGGATAATAATAAAAATATTATTTATTATGAGAAAATACAAATACAGATATTATTTATTCGCAAAATAATATATCGAAATAATTACAAACCAAAACCCTCAACTACTTTATCCACTTCTTCTTCTTCTTCTTCTTCATCGCTCGGTGTGTGTGTTTCAGTGTGGAAATGGCGTCGACCAGTGCCGTAATATCCCAATTCCATAATTCCGCGGCGGCTTCCGCCTCCATCAGTAATCTCTCCGCCTCCCTTTCGTAAATGTGTTTTTTTCCTGAAAATATGTTAATTGGTCTTTTTTTTTTAAATCGGAAATTAATTGCTTTTCAATTCTATTTCTTCTTCAGATTTATAAGTGTCATAATATGCTATTCGGAGTTTCTGATTTAAAAATCTCTTCAATGGTTGCAAAATACACAAATTTTCGATGGTAGAGAATTTGAATAATTGATTTATGAATTAGTTTGTTTTGATGCGTTAATTTTAAGCTTGAGGAATATTCCTGCAATTGTGCTGTGTGCATATTCTCGAACAGGAAAATTACTTTTAGACGAGCAATTTTGTGATTTTTCGAAGGGTTCTAATTGCATTCAGTAACATTTTCTAATACATATATACATTTTCCTGTTCAGATAGATTAAACATCAGCAAATGTCCAGCTGGCATTCGAGTTTTATCCCCGTCTAGTTATCGTAAGCTCGTACGAAAACAGAGAAATTTCCGTATCTGCGGTTTATTTGGTGGGAAGAAGAATAATAGCGAAAATAACGATGACGCCACTTCCAAGGCAAGTAATTCCACATCATTATTTGTGATAATAGTGCTGAATTATCTTAAGCTTATGATTTGATTAACATGTTTTCCGTACCATGCTTAGATGGGAATGCTGGGAGGAATGCAGAATTTATACGAGACTGTGAAGAAGGCACAAATGGTGGTACAGGTCGAGGCAGTGAAAGTGCAAAAAGAACTTGCCGTGTATGTTTTTCTTTTGGTCCAAAAAACTACATCTATTTCGTAAGTATTTCTGCGTATAATTAGGTACCGATTTATTATTTTCGTTTCTCTTTTTCTTCTACAGAGCAGAGTTTGATGGTTACTGTGAAGGAGAGCTCATTAAGGTATTGACAATTTACTTATCATTTGTAGTAGCTCGTACACCTGTATAACATAGCTTATCTTTTTTTTTTTTTAAATATTTAATAATTCCGTAAATGAATTTTCTTCAGGTAACTTTATCCGGGAATCAACAACCTATACGCACTGAAATTACGGAGGCTGCAATGGAGTTAGGACCAGAAGTGAGTATCTGCGCACATTCCTAATTTTAAGCTTCATTATTTCGTGTTTATTATTCGTTAAAACTAATATATTATGTAATTACTACGACAGTCTTTGAACGATTGTATTAGCTAAATATACTTTATTGTATGGCAGAAACTTTCGCTTTTGATCACCGAGGCGTACATGAATGCTCATCAGAAGAGTGTACTTGTAAGAATTTCATCGTATGTTATTGTTTTTATTTTCTTCGTATTTTTTTTATTTTTCCAGTTTTAAAAACGTATATGTTTGATTGTTTAGGCAATGAAGGAAAGAATGAGTGACCTTGCGCAGAGTTTAGGAATGCCTCCAGGCCTGAGCGACGGGTTCAAGCAATGACTTTTTTCTGGAGAGCTGCAGTTTATGAAACGATCTGTACGTACATTAGATTTATATCCGTATTCACATTGTACTCGCATGCACTGATTTAATTCAACACTGATGTTTGAAAGCAATGTATTTGTCATTTGACATCCCCATCTTTCTGTCTGAATTTCGACACGTAAAATTCTGCTGCCAAGAGAATTTTATGTGTCGAAACACGCTGATATAAATGAACTATTAACTTATAGCTCGACAATAATTAGGACTTCTGTTACGTAATTTAAGTACAGTTGGAATTGAATGATCCTATTGTAATACTCCCTCTAGCGTAGTTTCTGTTTTTTACGACGCAAGTGCTTCAAGATTTAGGCAAGTTCTTTCCAGACAAGAATGTCTGAAATAGCTCGAAAGCTCTCCTAGGCTGAAACAAAGGAACTTCATGCCCAGCTCCTCTCACTGTAGCAAACGTTAGTCCATCGTAAACTTCAGTCCATCCCCCAACCTGCAAATTGGATCGCAGCCGTAAATCCATAATTAGGTTAGCATCCTACATTTCGTGTTTTTTTTCTTTTGTATAAATATAATTAGATATCGTTACCTGCCCATTAGAGTACCAAGGATACCACGGAGTTTTGACTTTGAGATTTAGACGGTTCAAAGAAAACCTCGTTGCAGTCACTGGAACTACGGAATCTGTGTCCCCACTGCATTACATTCAAGAACGGCAGTTTTTAGATATATTTTTTTTCTTTTTTTAATAGAATATTAGAATTTCTACACACAGAAACACCTTTAGTGAGTTTCTTGATTGTACCTGAAAACCCATATTCGAAGACCTGCAGCAATCAGCTTCTTGTATATCGGAAGCACCGAAACATCAGAGTCGTTCCAGTTTCTTAGAAGCACGTCACTGTCATATATCCCGTCGGATCCAAA